GTAGTAGTAGTAGTAGTAGTAGTAGTAGCAGCAGCAGCAGCAGCAGTAGTAGTAGTAGTAGTAATAGTAGTAGTAGTAGAAGTAGTAGTAGTGGTAGTAGTAGTAGTAGTAGTAGTAGTGGTAGTAGTAGTAGTAGTAGTAGTAGTAGTAGTAGTAATAGTGGTAGTAGTAGTAGTAGCAGTAGTAGTACTGATAGTAGTTATGGTCGTAGTGTAGTCGTAGTAGTAGTGGTAGTAGTAGTAGTAGTAGTAGTAGTAATAATAAGTGGTAGTAGTAGTAGTAGTAGTAGTAGTAGTAGTAGTAGTAGTAGTAATAGTAGTCGTCGTAGTAGTAGTAGTAGCAGTAGCAGTAGCAATAGCAGTAGCAGTAGAAGTAGCAGTAGCGGAAGCAGAAGCAGTAGCAGTAGTAGTAGTAGCAGTAGTAGTACTGGTAGTGTAGTAGTAGTAGTAGTAGTACTAGTAGTAGTAGTAGTAGTAGTAGTAGTAGTCGAAATAATAAAAATAATAATGATAGTGGTAGTAGTACGAGCAGTAGTAGTAGTAGTAGTAGTAGTAGTAGTAGTAGTAGTAATAGTAATAGTAGTAGTAGTAGTAGTAGTAGTAGTAGTAGTAGTAGTAGCAGTAGTAGTAGTAGCAGCAGGATCCAATTGGATCACTTTTCGGGTGGGGGAGAGTTTCGTGGATCCTATTTTTGTGCTGCGCGGATCCAATTTCCTGTGTGTGGAAAAAAACGATGGATCCATTTATTTCCCGGGAATAAATAGAAAATAAGAATTAACATCCGGGACACAGGGGAAATTGGATCCGCGGAGCACCGCAAGTGAAGCATCATGCTATCCACGGAACTGTGGATCTGCAGACCAATGCTATGATTCTACGGGGGAGGGGGGTCTTCCCAGGATGAAGAGGGGAAGGATGAGGGAAGAGGCAAGAGGAGGTGGGAAGAGAACAGAGGGGACGCAGGGGGGGAGAGAGGAATAATCAGGGAAGAGACGGGGGGAGGAGGAAGGAAAAGGTGAAGGAGGATAAGGGAGGAGGAAGGAGAGAGGAGGGAGGCGGACGGACGAAGGAGGAAGGAGGAGGAGGGAGGAGGCGGGAGGAGGAGGGGGGAAGTGGGAGGAGGAGGAGAGGAAGGGATGAGGGAGGGCGAGGACACACAAGCAAACTGTCCGAGTCGGAAGCTCGAGCGCCACAGCGGGCCCGGCCACCTCTCCTCACCTCTCCCATAACATGTGGTTGCTCTCACCTGAACGGCGCGTCGCTTCCGAAATGTGGGGCTCAAGAGGAAAATCTTTCGGCCTGCGGAAAGTAGCAATAGGAATTTGATCACTAATATTCTTTAAATATTAGTACTAGTATGATTGTTCTTACATGTATGTTATTATTCCGATTGCTGTTAGAATGCGGTTCGTCTTGATACTAGTACTATCACAACTATCATTCTAGTTTCCTCTCCCTCCTACTCCTCCTCCTCCTCCTCCTCCTCCTCCTCCTTCTCCTCCTCCTGCTCCTCCTCCTCCTCCTCCTCCTCCTTCTCCTGCTCCTCCTGCTGCTCCTGCTCCTCCTGCTCCTCCTCCTCCTCCTCCTCCTCCTCGGCGGAGCGGCTCTCCGAGGTGCGCCGGAGGCCCCCCGCCGCTCCCCGGGCCCCCTCTCTGGCGTGAGGTCGGGCATGTCCTCCTGCAGGCAGGTGTTTGGACGAAACATTGTTTAAAAAACCAAAAGAAGAAACATTATAGCCAGAAAAATGGTCCAAGAATCGTCCCCAGACGATTTTTGTTTTGAATGTGTCTCCTGTGGAGGGACAGGCCCGACTGAACTCTGGCGTGAGGCGGAGATGTCTCCGTTACAACCGCCTGCGGGGGGCCCCCGAAAGGTCAACGCTCCAGACGGCGGTCATTTGGAATGAACGACTTGGTTCATGTTGCTCCCATCGTGCATGAGGCCCACATCTCAGAAATAATTTCGAGCACCCAGAAAAGTGACGAAAAGGTGTCGAACGAGTATGACCTCCCAAGGCCCGACACGTGAAGAACCTCAAGTTTCGGTACTTCCTTGGTGCTCGGAATTGTTTCTAGTCGTCAAAGCTAAAGTAGGTTGGAACATCATAAGACTTGGTGGTGAATGCGATTGTGGTTAACTGGCTGTCTGCTTGCGCGGTTCGAAACTGCCCGAACTGCCCTGCCCACCATTTCGTAATCTGCGTGGCGGTGGGCCCGTGATGCAGGCGGTCCACGCAGGACCCCCGCCCCGCGAACCACCATTTGGAGTTATGAAATGGTGATTAGTAGCTCTGGATTCATAGAGTGATGATTATACAGTCAACCCGAATCATAAGGATGCGCGGTAAGGATGTAGGGGCCGTGGAGCGCCATGTTGACGTTTTTTCGAACGAAGTTGGCCAGCGAAAGTCGGTAAGGATGGGCCGAAGTGGCAAGGATGCAAGGGTAGGCTTGGATAGCTGGTCATCCTTACTAGGCGGGTCGACTGGAACTGTTCCTGCACATTAGCTCAACCACCAACGCCCCAGGCACCATGTCAGAAACTCGAAGATCTGGTGGGACGCACAGAGACATACTAATACTATATGTCCTCCTTGGAGGCGCGCGTCTGACACAAACATATAGTATACCCATCTTGTAGTATATCGTTGCCCGAGCGATGTGGCCAGAAAGCGCCTGCCACGACGCATACACTATGAGATTTCTCGGTGGGGCGACGCACACATAGTAGTAATATGTTGAGGTGACGCCGAGCTGGGGGTCCCCAAACAAACGGCCTGGTGACAAACCGTGCGGTGACCCCATCCTCCCCCAAAGTCTCACCGCCCGCTCCGTCCCCGCCTGGCTTGGGCTAGGTCGGGCATGTCCCCCTACAGGTGGATCTTGGACGAGCAACCAACCAAAAATACGACTCATCAAAAAAAGGCAAAACCATACGCCAAAAATCGCATCCCCGACGAATGTTTGACTATGCTTGAAGACTCCTCCTGTAGAGGGGGACACGCCCGACTTCAGGCTTGGGGGACCCTGGAGGGCCCAGCCGCCCAGAGAGGCATCCTCGGGAAGAGCTCAAGGGGCCCAAGGACACACAAATAAATACACACAAATAAAATGATTCCCAATATTTTCCCATATTTTCTGGGTTTTTGTCCTCCCGCCCAGTTTCCATATGTTCCCATATTTTCTTGGGGATCGACGGTTAATTGTGTCTGTGGTTTTTGTCCTGCCTGAAGCGAGGCCCGACGGTCCCGAAAAAACGAGCGCGGCCACCCCGAAGCCCCACGGGGCTCCCCCGACGTGCCATGTGCTGACTTTTTCGCTACGGTCAAGTCAGGCGTGTCCCTCTACAGGAGGCAGATTCAAAAATAGCCCCCCCCAAAAAAAAGTAGTCAGGGTACGACTTTTGGAGTACCTCTTGACTATTCGGGGGTATTTTTGAATACTTAAAACTTTTCGTGCAAAATCCGCCTGTAGGGGGACATACCCGACCTAACGCTACGGGGTCCCCGGAAGTCCCGATCCCTTCCCAGATCATTGCATACCGATTTTTTTCGGTCGCGATCGGCAGCGACCGATCGACACTCCAAATCGGTCGCGACCGATCGCGAATCGGTCGCGACCGATCGCCACCGATAGCGGCCGAGCGGTCGCGACCGATCGGTCGCGACCGACTTTGAAGCAAGTCGGTCGCGACCGATACCGAAATCTGAAGCAGAATCGGTAGCGACCGATCTCGTCGGTCGCGACTGGAAAACTGCAGTATCAAACGATCGGGGAGGAGGAGGAGGAGGAGGAGGACGAGGAGGAAGAGGAGGAGGAGGAGGAGGAGGAATAGAAAGAGGAGTAGGAGGAGGAAGAAATGCGGAAAACTCCAGTATCGAATGATCAGGAAGTTTCCCGGGGACCGGTTTTCCATCCGGAGCCGTGCTCTGACGGCCCTCGCGCCCAGCGAGGGGCCCTCTCGAGGCCGAACATGCAGAGTACGAAAACGAAAAAAAACAAAAACAAATACAAAACAGAATACAGATACAGAAACAAAAAACAAAAAAAGCGCCCGTCCCGATTTTGGTTCCGAACGCGAGCATGCTGTCTGGGTCCCCGCCGAACGGTGGGGCCACCGCACTCGGGAGCGGCCAAGAGGGGGGTGCCCAAGAGGAGGGGGTGCAAATCATGGCCGGCGGCATGTGCGCGGCCCAGCGGGGGGGCCAGGGACGTAACGAAATAAGAAGAGGCGCCATGAAACCTGGGGAAAAACCATGGCCCCCGCCATGATATCCACCCCCCCCCCCAGTCATCACCCCCCTCTTTCCCGCCCCCGAGCACGATGGGGCCACCGCACCGGTCCGGGGCGCGCGGCCCCTCCGCCCGGGCCTCCAGATGCGCGCGGCAGCGCCACCGGCGAGAGGCCCGCCGCGGGTCCGGGTCCCGTCCGCGTCGCAATGCGCCGCGCGCGGCGGCGGGCCGCTGCCACGACGGCGGGCCGCTCCCAGACCCCCCCCGGGCAGTGGAAAACAAATCGCGACGGCGGGCTCTTCCATACTCTCGGCCTCTCGAGGACCCCTTAACGGGCCTCGGGGCCGACAGGAAACGACTCGGGACGAGGAACCGGTCCCGGGGAAGGGGTCGAGGCCTCGGGGGTCGACGTAATGAAAAAATGCGGGCGAACCCTACCCCTACCCCACACGATTTCTGAGGGGTAGCGTGGGGGTTACCCTTCGTTCGGGAGCTCCCGAGCGAAGTGAATCCTTCCCTCCCCCTCAGAAATCGTGGGGGGTAGGGGTAGGGTCCGCATGTGGCCCCCTAAAAAAATCTTGACGTCGGGGGTCCGGGTTGTCGGCCTCCAAGAGGCGGGACTTGCCCATGCCCGGGACCGTCCAGATCCGGCCCGGAGGGAAAAACGGGTCCAGGGGACGAGGCCGAGACCTCGGGAGGTCCACGGTGCGAGCAGCAGGGGCGTCGTTGCGGGTCTGGGTCCCGCCGCCGCCCGAGAAGTCCCTGCGGCCTTGGCGTTGTTCTTGATCTGCGCCACGCGCTGCGCGAAGGAGCAGGTGGATATCGACTCGGGGATGTTGCTCGACTCTGGGGAACGTGTTTTCTCTGCCCCTCCCCTCCTCCGATGACGAATGTTTCTTTTGTTTCGCGGCATCCCTGGGGATCTCGATCCCTTTCCAGGGACAAGCCGTTTTACCTTGGTTTCGCTGTTGGACCGTCCCGGGGCCGAGAAAACGGCCTCTGCATGTCAACCGCTGGCACAGGAAACAACCAAAAGAAGACAATAAATCTGAAGATCTCTCCCTGCTGGCTCCGAGGAACGCGAGAGGGATCATGCACAAGCTCGGGATAGGGCATGCATGTGCAGCGAGGGGGCTCGCACCACTGTGTCGGCAAATTCCTCCTCCTCCTCCTCCTCCTCCTCCTCCTCCTCCTCCTCCTGCTCCGCCTCCTCCATCATCATCAGAATCGTCATCATCATCAGCATCATCATCAGCAGCAGCATCATCAGCAGCATCAGCAGCATCATCGTCAGCATCATCAACAGCATCACCATCATGAGCAGCATAATCCTCATCATCATCATCATCATCATCATCATCATCATCATCGTCATCATCATCATCATCATCATCGTCATCATCAGAATCATCAGCATCAACATCATCATCATCAACAGCAACATCATCAGCAACAGCAGCATGAGCATCATCATCATCATCATCATCATCATCATCATCATCATCATCACTACCCGCATCATCATCGGCAGCATCATCATCATCAGCAGCAGCATAAGCATCATCATCATCATCACCATCATCATCATCAGCAGCAGCAGCATCATCATAAGCATCACCATCAGCATAGTCAGCATCAGCATCAGCAGCAGCATCATCAAGAGCATCATCATCAACATCAGCATCAGCATCATCAGCATCACCACCACGAGCATCATCATCAGCATCATCAAACTTATCCACCTTCTTCCCTCCTCCCCTTCATCATGATCATCGATATCCTCATCATTGTCATGGTCGCAACCATCATCAAAATCAGCACCAACCTCACCATCACCATCATCGTCATCGCCTCTTCTCCTCCTCATCCTCCTCATCCTCCTCATCCTAACCATCACCATCCTCTCCGTGTTCAAGGATAGATGGAAAGGGGGATGATCCCCCTTTCCATCTATCCTTTAACATGGATCAGACCGGCCAAAGGCCGATAAGGAGGTTGGGGGTGGAACCAACAAGAGGACAACCATCGGGACAACCATATCCACCTATCGAACAAACTCAATCGGCGCATCTATCTGACGAAGTCACTGTGCATCGATTTACCTCACTATATACCTATCGATCCCGTGATCTGTTCATACACATGTCGATGACACAGTCTACGAATATGTCGATCTCACTGCCATCGGGACAACCATCGGGACAACCATCGGGACAACCATGGGGACAACCGTCGAGACAACAACCTCTATCGGTAGATCGATCGATCGATCTCACTCTCGACCGGCATGCACTTTCATATGTCACTACACATCGCTTACATTATGTATCTTTCATCTCGCTATGACGATCGATCTATCTATATATATATATATATATCGATCTCACGATCCCTCGATCGACCCCGGAGAGTTTCCTGCCGCTCGCGGCCGGAGCCGCGCCCGTCCCCCTCGAACCCTCCCCGAAGCTGCACCCCAGGGGGGTCCACACGCGCACACCGAGTGGCTTTCCCAGCCGTCCTGTGGTGTGTGGTGCCCTCGCTGTGCAGAGAGAGCGCCCCGCGTCCTCCTCCTCCTCCTCCTCCTCCCCCCTCCTCCTGCTCCTCACTCCTCCTCCTCCTCCTCCTCCTCTCCTCCTCTCTCCTCCGCTTTCCTCCGCCTCCTCCTCCTCCTCCTCCTCCTCCTCCTCCTCCTCCTCCTCCTCCTCCTCCACCCCCCCCCGATGTCGGCACGTCCTGCACACGCTTCGTGGCGCAATAGGGAGCTCCAATGAAGGCCCCAGGGACAGGGTTCGCATGCAGCTCCCCGCCAATGTCGGTACACCCCTCACGCGCTTCGGGGCCCATAGGAGGCTCCTCCGAAAGCCCCCGTGGCAGGGTTCGCACTCGGTTCCCTACCAATCTCGGCACACCCAACATGCTTCGTGGCCCAATGGGAGCTCCGCCGAAGGCCCCAATGACAGGGTTCGCATGCGGCTCCCCCCCATATCGGCATACCCCTCACACACTTCGTGATCCTATAGGGAGCTTCACCGACGGCCCCAGTGGCAGGATTCGCATGCGGCTCTACCCCAATGTCGGCACCATTCTCACACGCTTCGTGGCCCAATATGAGGCTCCACCGAATGTCCCAGTGACAGGGTTCGCATGCGGCTCCCCGCCCAATCGGGTACAACCCTCGCACGCTTCGTGACCCCATTGGGAGCTCCACCGACGGCCCCAGTGACAGGGTTCGCATGCGGCTCTACCCGAATTGAGGCACCTCTCTCACACGCTTCATGACCCTATGGGGAGCTCCACCGAATGCCCCAGTGACAGGATTTGCATGCGGCTCCTCCCCTCCCATGTCGGCGTTCCCTTCACAGGAAAGATTTAGAAAGCAACACTGGCGCGACCGATCGCGCGCAAAGCGGACACGGCGCATATCCCTCACAAGGCGCTATTGGGCGGTACTGGTAACCCTTGGGCGCTATTTGAACGGTATTCAGCGCTACCGGGCGCTACTGTTTGGTGCTATTGGGCGCTCTTGGGCGCCATCCGCCGATATGCATTCATTCCAAGACGAGCGGAAGCTTTCGCTGTTGACTGCCTGAAAGAATGTCTCTGGACCTGCCCGCAGCAAGCCAGGCCCCAGCGAAGGCCGCTCGGCAGACTCCGCCGTCCCCCCGCGGGGCTCGCGACTCGCGGCGCCAGTGCAGGAAAGCACGCCCTTGGGCCAGCCCCGGAAACCTCCAAGAGCCGCCGAACAGCGGTGCTGCTCCGAGGCCGCTCAGAAACGGCCCCCAGACTCAGCATCGCTCGGACGTCCATTCCATGTGCGTCTGTTTCGGTTCTGCGCGCATATTTTTCGCAAGCTGATCCAAGCTGGTCCTCGATGGTCCTCGCCGGAGAACAATGCAGACGTCCGAGCGATGCCGAGCAGACACTTCCGAGGGTGCGCCCTGGCAAGCACCTCGCGAGCTGCGCCTGGCCGCGGCGACGAGAACCTCCGGAGACACTATGAAGGCCTCCGAGGCGGCCCTGAGTCCCGGGCGTCGCAAAAAAAATCGCGACCGCTGTTTGTTTCCAAGTCTTCGACCTCCAGCGGCGGTTTGACCAGCGCCGGGAGCTTCAGAAAGCGGCTTGGGGATCCAACGACGGTCCCTGGCAAGGGTTGTCAAGATCCCCTGGGGGGGCAAAAGAAAGAAAAAAAAAAAGAAAAAAAAAAAACAAAAAAAAAAAAAAAAAAAAAAAAGAAAAAAAAAAAAAAGAAACGAAAAAAGAAGAAAGAAAAAAAAAAAAAAAAGAAAAAAAGGAAAAAAAAAAAACAAAAAAAAGGAAGAAACAACAACAAAAAACCAAAAACAAAGCAAAAGGTAAAACAAAACAAACAAAAAGAAAAAAATAAAAAAAAAAAAGAAAAAAAAATAAAAAAAAAAAAAAAAAAAAAAGACAAAAAAAAAAAACAAAAAAAAAAAAAAAAAAAAGAAAAAAGCAGAAAAGAAAAAAAAAAAAAATAAGAAAAAAAAAGAGTAAAAAAAAAAAATAAAAAAAAAAAAAAGAAAGACAAACAAAAAAATAAAAAAGGAAAAGAAAAAAAAAAAAAAAAAAACAAAGGGCCCACGTCGCGAAAAGCATGGACCCGTAGAGAGAGGACAACGACGGCAGCGGCGACGACGGCGCCTCCACCTCCTCCTCCTCCTCCTCCTCCTGCTCCTCCTCCTTCTCCTCCTCCTCCTCCTCCTTCTCCTCCTCCTCCTCCTCCTCCACCTCCTCCTCCTCCTCCTCCTCCTCCTCCTCCTCCTCCTACCGCGGGAGAGGTCCGCAAGGTAAAGGCCGCCGTGAGGGCAGCGGTGGTCGCCGCGGCCGACCCACGGCGGCCACTGCCGCGCAGAAGTCACAGCGCCTTGCGGTTCTCTCGGGGCAGTGGCGGGATCGGACGGCTTCGAAGCGGGTTGATCAGATCGGATCGGAACGTGCATCGAATGGGGCCGCATCGGCACGGAGCCGGAATCGAATCGGACTGGCCGCGGCAGGAAGCACCAAGACACCATGCAAGCATCGGGCTGCACCGGACCACGAGGACATTGGAACCGACTCGGAGCGAGAAGGCCGAAATCGATATCGAATCGGATCGATCGGATCGAAATGGACCCTGACGGGCCCCCCAGGGCCTGCTGACTCGCCTGCTGGAGCGTCCCGGGTCGTTTGTTGCCGGCCCAGGGGCCCCGAACAGCAGAAGCCCCCCCCAACGTGACCACGACGACTGACAAGGCATGTTAAGACTTGTCGCTCTCTGCTGCCCGCGTGTCACCCAGCATGACAAGCCCAAACCGTTGACACACGCCCTACCCTCGTCGTCTATGAGCGTACCGCTCTGATCCTGACGGGCGGGTCGGGCGGGTGAAGCATGAAAGCGGACAGGGCGGGCGGACCTCAACGAACGGGTCGGGCGAGCGGACACTGAAATGGGTGGGCGGGCTTCTAAGCAAACGAACGGGCGCACCCCGGCGGGTGGACCCTAACAGGTGGGTCGGGCGAGCGGACCCTACCTGGCGGGCTGGGCGGTTGGAACATCAATGCGAGAGTATTGAATGTATCGTGAGTATGTCCCAGGCGAGGGCGCGAATCCTGGCAGAGTGGGGGGAATTCCTGGGCGGAAGTGTCAGTCCTCATTGGCGAGAGCGCGGTTCTCCGGTGATGTCCCAGGCGAGAGCGCTACTCCTGGTGGGCGGCCAGAGCACGATTTCTGACCGAATGCTGAAAAAGCCTCAGGCGAGAGCGCGATTGTTGAACACATTGCGAGAATCATCGAGCGAGACCCAGGCTGGAGCCGCTGTTGTCGCCCAGGGGCCGACATCGCAGTTTGA